GTCTAGCACGGTGTCCAGCAAAATAGAAGATGGTGAGACTGCTCCCTGCGCGGACAGACGCGCCGGCTCCCTGGCCGAGCAGGGCGCGGGATGGGCAGGAATAAGCACAGCGGTCGGCGCCCGGGCCGCTGAACTCAGCCAACCGGCGTCTAACCCCAGCACTTCTGAACAGGCCTCCCCTCCGTACGTTCCCCCAGCGGCAGCTGTACTTCTGCTTATATTTTTGAGATAATTTCCATCTCTTCTCCGTTTTGGTTTATCTGCACATCCCTCAAAATAATTTCCTATATTTAGGTCCTGAAAATGCTTCTGTAAGTCCCTTCTACAAGTATGTATTAATTTAGCTTCATCTGTAAGCAGGGAACGTCACCAACTTCTCATGGTCCCAATCCCCAGGCAAACATCATCTAACATAAGCTTTAAAAATATCACCCAGAGAAAAGAGTGTAAATTACTGGGGGGAAAAAACTTGAAAGCTTTTGGAGAATCACTTTTAAAAAAAGAAGGAAAAGAAACATTCCAATGATTATATAATGTGAATAATTTCTTCTCCTTACTGTATTACTATGAGACTGACAGGAATATTTTATCATTAAAAAAATCTGGCTTAGTGACAGGAACAAAGAATAAATGCAAGAAATAGAGACTGCTGCTTGGGGTGGAAGTGTTAACAGCAGGATCCCCCCATCCCTGACATTGGGATTGGTTTTATCTAATAATTTAGAGAGTATCATAAAAAGAGTAGGTTCAATAAAATCGCCAAAGCTGCAGAAAATATGATTTTTTTTAGGCAGTGAGACACTACCAGCAGAGATAACTAGCAGACAGATTTGGGGAGACTGTGTAAGTAGGCAGGAAACCAGGAGGTAGATTTTAATGAGGAGTGCCAGGAATTTATGGAATAGCCAAAAATATACAAATAGGGCTCAGAGTTCTATGTATCAGTTAGATCCAGGCATTAGAGTTCTGAAACTATTACTGTCATTGACCCAACGGATCAATGTTCCCCCCAAAGACCAATAAGCTATTGGACACCGTCTTGAACAGGACTGGCAACCACCCACAATATGTTATTGGATTGTTGTCCAAAACTGTCTTCATGCCTGCTGATAAGTGTCTCAAGGAAGATGCTATAAAAGTGAGAACTTCCAAAGTGAAAGTTACAGGACCACTAACGATATGCACAGGGGCCAGCAGACCATATAAATAACTTTAGTGGGCAGCTGCAGGAATCTGGGCACATAGCTTTGAAAGGTGGAGGCTCTTCCCCAACCCAGTCCATTGTCGCTCTGCGGAACCACAAGTATCATGCTGCCAACTCTTATTATTTTTTCAGAGATTGCAAATTCAGTGGGGAAATCTCTTACTTTCCAACTGTTGAGAATTAATTCCAACTTTTAAAAAAACCCCTAAGCTCTGTTTGGGCCAAAACAAAACAGGTCTCTAGACTGATTTGCATCTCAAAGCTGCGAATTTGCAATCTCTGGGTTGAAAGAGAAACTTCTGAATGGAGATGGAAAAATTTAGAGCTCATATTTAAAGACAAGAATTGAGAGGTGACATGGTTTTAATTTCTGTGAATATCTTGAGACATATTCAAAAGGAAAAGAATTTTGGTGTAATAAATTATTTATTCACACATGTCATGACATCACCTCCAGAAAATTAATTTCCTGGGACAGAGCTTAATGTAACTAGTGAAAAATCTACCCCCTGGAGCAGTAATGGTACTGAGCAGGACGGGAGTATTTAAGCCAAGGTGTTGAAGCAGCTGGGTTGCCACCAGTTTTGATCAATCAAGGAATCATTTTCCAAATTGATAGGAACTGGAGATTTTTATTAATACCTGAAATAGTCCCATAGGGAAAAAACACCGCTAATCTGAAATGCCAAAAGCATTCCTATAAGAAACAGTGAAGGACTGGTTTGAATATAAACTGCAGATCACTCATAGAGGAAAGCATAAAACACTTTAGTAACAGACACCCATCCATTACCTCATTAAACACGCACGGAGAGAGATGTGAAGTTATAGATGCCTCCCATCTGGAAGTCAGATTTCCTCATCTGTTTTGATTAGGCTGGGAAGACCCCGATGGATCTGGTGTTACACTGGCAGAATGGAACCAAAGCAATATTTGACAGCCTCAAAGAGAACTCCTACAAAACCTCTCGCCTGCCTGCATTCTAAGAGAAACGGCCACGGGCTTTCACCAGCTGCTCCTCGCCGAAGAAGAGCAACTCAGTTCAAGCCCAGCGTCTCCTTATCAACCCGTGGTCGAGCTGCACCTTATAAAGTGTTGCGAAAGCACGGGGGGACGGGCACTGAAATTTCCCTTAGCGAAACTCACTCTATTTATTTGTATTTATTCCTGTTTATTTATTTATTTTTAAATG